AGATTTTCTGGCTGAGCTGGTTATTTCTTTGTGGAAAATCACAGTAGGCAAAGATGCCACGGACGTTACGTGAGTAACTTCTACTTTTTAGTTAATACGAAGTTTATAGGTCATTTAGCAACTTGTTTGATGCTATCAGAGCTATAGTTCTATGAATGGGGGAAAGGTGAGGGATTTTGTGAAATGTGTGGCCTCATGGTTTGAATGGACCACTTTTGACTGTCTTACTGTATGATTAAATAGAAATGGTCTGTGTAATTGTCCTTTGTGGGATACCTTTTGGGGCTAAGTATGAAGATGATTGGGGATGGTGGTGGAAATAACTCAAAGGATATGTTCTTGCTTAACAGAACAATTTGAGTCTCTTGGTTCATTTTAAATTCTGAGGGAGTCTTTTAGAGGTGTTTAGTTACTTGATCAAATCAGAGAAAAGGATAGACTGCCAATAAACTAATCTCTAGTTAGAGGAATGCCATTTATTTCAATATGTGTTTTGTCTGAATTTTTTTTTAACCTTTGAAACTTAGTCCCTTGAAAGGGGGTCAGGTTGTCACTCTAAAGGGGGAAAAGATTGTTGGTGTAGCAGCATTTTGTGGATTGTAAACCTCTCTCCTTTGAAGAGAAACCTTGATAAGCTATATTTCTGCTCTAGTTTGACTGCAGACCCTTAAATTTTATTTTCCACAGGAATAATGTAGCAATACTGGAATTCTCACTAAACATGAGACATGGACACCCGCTCAAAAAGTTCTTCTGAAGATTATTTTTCTAAACATCAAAGTTTTGAATCTATATAAATCTGTCAGGAACATTGCAAACTCTATCTGCAAAATACTTGTGGGAATATTTGTTTCTGGGGCTCACATCAGTTACTCTTTGCACTGGGACACAGACAAAGCTTTTGGGAGGCTGGAGTGTGTGTATGCATGGGTGTTTGTCCTCCCGCCCTCCACTCAAAACAATGAAACACTCCCCTGCCCCCTTTTCTGGCCTTCCCTAGGACTATTTCTTGAAAACGAAATTCTTGTAGTGGTTTCACAGCCTCTGTAGAAGAGGAATAGAAGGAAGTAAAGAAATGTGTATTTAATCACCTCCTTACCATATGCCAAGCTTTCTGCTGAGGGCTTTACAAATACTATCTCATTTCATCCTCACAACCCTGTGAGTTCAGCACTATCATCCCCATTTTACAGTTGAGGAACTTGAGGCAGACACCTGATAAGTGACTTGCTCTGGGTCATAACTGGGTCTGAGGCTAGATTTGAACTAGGGTCTTTCTTACTTAGTGCACTAGCACTACAGCTACTTTTAGGTCTGACAGGAATCCAAGTGAATTGTTTTGAACAGAAATGATGAAATGGACCTTGAGTGAAATGACTCACTTTTATATATTTATTTAATTCAGACCTATGATTTTAATGATATTTGGACCTCTAGGTGAGGAATTTCCTGTATCTAGGCATATCTGTTGTTTCTTTAATTTGTAATCTTAAAAGAGTTGCCTAAGGGTACTGGGAAGTTAAGTGTTTTCCCCAGGGTCACATAGCCAGCCTGTAGTGGAATTTGAACCTTGTATACTTTACCATTTCTTTCTTGAAGGTCATGCTTCTGGGGATAATCTTGAATTCTCCTTCAGCCCTTCATTTCCAAAGACACTATTCCCATTGTACTTAATGAGGTTTTTTTTTTTTAATAGGTAAGATCATGTTAAAATGGTTATGGTGGCTTTGGAGGGAGGGACATTGATAAAAGAGCTGGGCTGTGTCTGTGTGGTGTTGACAGGTTAGGAGTTCAAAAGCACTCTATGCTCACTAAGTAACTACTATATAAGAATAAGTCTCTAGAGTTGGAAGGGACCACAGAATCCATCTGGTCCAGTCCCTACTTATTTAATTTATAAGGGAACTGAGGCTAAGGAGATGAAGTGACTGCCTAAGACCATCAGGATAGTAGGCATTAGAGTTTTCTAATTCTAGTTTTGCTGAAAAATGTGGAGAAAAGTTGTGGGAAATACTGATTGGTGGGAAGTACCAAAGCTGTCTCTTTTTTGTAGTCTTTCTCCTCAGTTTCCCCATCCTGACTGAATTCTAATAGATAGGATAGTAATTGTGTTTCTAGGGCTTGTGGGACACCTTGTCTATTTGATAGTACAAATTATTTTTTTAGTCTCATCCTTGAACTGTTATCAATAATGATAATAAGCAAGAATCTAATAGGCACTTAAAATCTTTTATTTTTTCCCCAATTACATGTAAAGACAATTTTTAACATTTATTAAAAAAAAATTTGAGTTCCAAATTCTTTCTAGTTCTCTTCTTTCTATCCCTTCCTGAGAATAAGCAATTTGACATAGGTTATACATGTGCAATCATGCAAAACATATTTCCAGTATTAGCCATGTTGTGAAAGAAAACACAGACAAAAAAACCCCTAAGAAAAATAAAATAAAAAAGTATGTTTCAATCTGCATTCAGACTCCATCAGTTCTTTCTCTGGATGTGGATAGCATTTTTAATCACTACTCCTTTGGAATTGTCTTGGGTCATTGTATTGCTGAGAATAGTAGCAAAGTCATTCACAGTTGATCATCATACAATATTGGTGTTACTATGGATGATCCCCTGACTCTGCTCACTTCACTTTGCATCAGTTCATGTAAGTCTTTCCAGGTTTTTCTGAGAGCGTCCTGTTTGTCATTGTTGTAGTATAATAGCGTTCTATCACAATCACATACCACAACTTGTTCACCCATTCCGCATTGATAGGCATCCCCAATTTCCAATTTTTTACCACCACAAAAAGAGCTGAATAGGTTCCTTTGTATCTCCTACATGTTGAGCACATGAGCCCCTAACCCAAAGAGCTGAGGAAATGACGTGTGATGTCAGAGAACAACTCAGTAACATAAAGTTTTACTAGATCCTTTTGAGGCTCCTCCTAGCTCTAATATTATTTTATACAAAGTGCTAAAACTTGGTAAGATCAAGGTAAGTTTTAAGTGACCAAGAAGCCAGAATGTAGGAAGTAACTTAAGTGGAAAGGATTATAGTATAGACTTGGCTTTTAATGTCAATTATTTAAAGTCAATCGGTGATTAGATACACATATGAAATAAAAAGAAACTAAAGAAAAGGTTTTTATCACATAAACCAGGGTTTCTCAATCTTGTTGTGTGTGTTATGGACTCCTTTGGCAGCCTAGTGAAGCTTTATGGACCAGTTCTTGTAATAATGTTTGTTGCCTACGTTCATAATTGAAGGAAATGCTAAAAATTTAGATGTTAGTGAAAATAAAGATGTATTTTTTTTCCAAGTTCATGGACCCAAGGGGTGATTCTGTTACATATTTCATGTTAACAACTGCTTTTAACCAGCCACCTATAACATTCATACAAAAATTGGAAAGTTTTTACTAGAAACTGAATTTGTGGTGAAGGGAAAGGGATAGGACATGATATTTCTATAAAACAATTTATATTTCTTTATGACTTTTATTTGTCCCTCATAACAACTTGGATGAATTGGTGGGAAAGGGGTTCTGAGAAGTTAATGAAGTAAGTTGCCTAAGGCCACATAGGTGATTGGGGGGAGGCAGGGAAAGGTAGAGAAAACTAGGGCCTTGGTCTTCTGAGGCCAGATTAAGTATTTGCTATGTTACCCCCTATTTAATTAGAGTGGGACACGGACAGTCTTTTTGATCCAAGCTCACATTTGTAGGCTATTGCTCTTTGAACATAAAAAGCCAACAGTGAAGAAGTTTGTCGCGTTGAGTCACTTCAAGTCAATTTTGGTCATGTTTGAGGACCCCAGACAGGTACTGCTAGGGTTAAGCGGATGACAATGGAATCCCAAATTAGACTTGTCCCAAACACAATTCATTCTCTTCTTACCTCCGACTCTCTCCTCTTCGAACTACTTTTGAGAGTACTCACATTCTGCTAGTGACTGAGACTCACAGTGCCTGTGTCATCTTTACTTTGCCATTTTTATCCCACATAGCCAATCCATTGCCAATTCTTGTTGGTTTTAGCTTCACAGCATCTGTCTTATAAGTTCTTTTTGCTACAAAAAAAAGGCAAAAGACAGTTCTTACTTATAATCTAATGAGATTTTATAATCTAATTGAAGAGACAACATTTGAACAAAAGAACAAGGAAGCTATATACAGGATAAATAGTAATTAATTAAAAGAAAGAAAGCACTAAAATAAAGAGGGGTTAGGGAAAGCTCCCTGTAGGAAGTGGGATTTTAGTTGGTGCTTG